TATGCAAGAAAACACAATTTTATTTTGTCAAAGTTAAACATTAAAAAGTTGCGTATAAATGTATAAAAGAAATGTTTATACAGGCCCGCTATCATTTTCATGCATGGTGATCTGGGTTGGGATCAGTTGCAAATTATGATCAGTAAGTCAACAACAGCGGATTTGTTGAAAATGTTTTACAAATTGGATGAGTTTTTCAGTCAACAATTTAAGAGTAGCAAACGAGTATTTAGTTCGTTACAACCCAAGCAACAAAGAATGAATAATAGTAGTAGTATCAAGAAACGACAACTAAAGAAGAGATCTGCTGTTGACGGTAAATTCAAATTTCATTATTACTTATCAGCTGCCATAATGAAAATTGTAATGCTGATTAAATATACTGTAGGAGGCCCATGGAGTTTAAACCAGACTGCGATATCAGATGCTAGACATCATAGACATTGGCAAAGGGTACTAACTCAAGTAGCTGGTCTTCAATTAGGAAGCCTGAGGTTTTCTTTGCCGTCAACTGGTACTGTCCTTGGTGGTACAATGGAACTTCACGGCTGTAATATCAGCTTAGCGTGTTTCCACGGAATTAATTTTAAAAGCAAAAGCTGGGCTTTGTTCTCATTAAAAGAGCCTTGTATAAGTTTTGCTACAGAAGCCCAAGAAATTCCGAGTGTTGAAAGTAATTAATATAAAATAATTATCAGACTATTTCTGTGCCAGTAGTGTAAATAATAAATGTATCTTTCTTTACACACAGCGCCTAACATGTACGACGTTCACGTCGTACAGACGTTAACTATCAGTCTAGGTCATCAACAAGAACAACACGCAAGACATCATTCCATGGCAACCGTGTGTCGATTAAGTCGAAGCGTTTTATTTCCACCGCAGTTTAAATCCCTACAAGAATGGTTTCATTATGCATTTGCTAGTAGTGAAATCGATGGTATGTGTCAAATATAATAGAGATTTTAATTATTTTATATTTTTCTATAAAATTATATGCGACTAATTTCTCTCTTCATTGTACAGCCGTAGATAGATTTCCATGCATTGAACGGGATAGAGTGGACAGTGCATCTGACGGTAGTAATGCATCACGTGGAAGGAGCACATCCGCAACTCCTGGCAAACTACAAGAACACTCGCATACACGAGAAGTGATATTCGCCTTACCTTCGTTGCAGTTACATCTGAAAACTGAACATTTACAAACCGCTAGAACACCAGATGTTATAGGTATGTACATTAAAAAAACATTGATTTTTCAAACAATCGCTGCCTAATTATTTAAATATACATTTATGTAACATTAATTGGTTTTCTGTAAATTAAACGTTATATAACATTTTACGAAAATAAGCTAAATATAATAATGTATAATAGACACGGTTTAATGTAACGTAATACGTACAGTGGTTTTCTTTGTAAATGTTATGAAATTATATTAATAAATGTAGCGTCAGTGCAAGTTTATAAATCACACTAATCACAAAGCATATTACACGTCTGTCCACTGTGCTAATTATTCTGCACTTGGTTCTTTCATACATTTTTAGGACTTCCTAAGCATATTTTATATAGTAAGTATGAAATGAAGCTTATTATGTTTGGAATGATAAGAAATAATAGAAATCTAGTATGCTTTACACGTTTCAATAAATGCTTAAGCGATACCTGTATGTTGGTGTACAACTTTGTTTAATAATTGATTGAAATCTTAAAAAGTTTATAATATAGTGATGAATAAATTACAATTTACAGTTTTTCTATGGTTGAGCATAATTTATGAAGACAATGTAATAGAAAGTATATAGACATTTACATACAATTTTTCATAATTATTTAACATGAACAACTAGTAATGCTTAAGTAAAAGCATGAAAAATTAGTTTTATTACTTATTAGAACTAAAAGTATGTATCTATATTATTTCATTAGCATAACTTCAGGATATAATGTAGTGTGTGTAAAAATGTATTTTAAAAGTTATTGTTAAAATGTAATTATTCCAATTTACAGGCGAAAAACCATTAGTCGAATGCAGCTTTATAACAGAATTTGAAGATCATATATTTGTTACCGTTGATGCTGAAGCCTTTTTCTTCCTACATGATCTCATTACATCATATGTGAAAGAAAAGGAAAGAGTGGTAAGAACTTTACTGAAAATATGTTTGAAATAACTTCAAAACTGAATCTTTCTCTTTTCTTTTATTTTACATTTAGGAAAAGGTACCTTATTTTTATAAAATCTCTCACATTATAGCATACAATGCAGAACATGGGTGCAAGAGCGCACAGTCCCGATTCACAAGATAGAAAGAACATAAACGCAGGTACAGTTACCACGTCTAGCATACCTGTTACTTCCGAGGACGAGAAGAAACGTAAACAGTTTGATCCGGCTGAAATGTTCATAAAAGATTGGCGATCGTACAGATGTAAAACATGGCACTTAGAACCGACAGTAAGGTAAGTTATTTTTGATGAAACCTGGTCACTCTCTCTCCCCCTCCCCCTCTGTATCAAAACCATTCAGGATAACGCTGTCATAAATTTTTGTCAAGACTACTCTCATGGGCCGGTAAAAGTATAGAACCATACGGAATCGATTATATTCTTCAAAAATTGGGATTCTCCCATGCACGCACGACGATACCAAAGTGGATACAACGAGGATTTATGGACCCTCTAGACAAATTACTCGCCATTCTTATGTTAAGAATGGTCTTAGCCGTTCGTGAAGAATCATCGGATGAACAAAAGGAATATAAAAGAGAAAAATAATACCAAATTGACTTTTTTTTATAATATACATATGATCTCGTGATATGTATTACGGTGGTGCAATAACTGGTAAGAAAGACATAATACACATCAGCGTTACTTAAGATGCGATAAAATCTATGCATAAAGTAACAATGTATAATTTTTTTACTATCTGTTTAAAGTAGTTAGGTTCTGAAGTAGCTGCTATTATAGAATATAATTGGAAAAAGAACCATAGTGGTTGATAATAATCGTTCTTGGTAAAGAACTATAAAACTTATATTTATAAAACTGATGTCCAGATATATGTACAATATGTTTCAATATATATATTGAATATATATACATATATATATATATATGTAAGTGTAATTAATAAACCGTAACAACATGTATCCAAACAACTGTATATTACTAATGTATACGTATATATAATTTTTATTATATTTTTTTATCTTGAGAGAGAGAGAGAGAGAGAGAGAGGACATTATATTATTTCAATCTATTTTAACTATATTCGGTTGGAGTATTTCAAGATATTCCAAGGATGCAAGCAGTACAAAATTACTCATTCATTTAGTTTATCTTTTTTTAATTTTTGAATTAAAACCATAATTTTACGTTTTTAATCTACAAAACGCAGAATCGATTTAAAAACAAGTTTTATATGCAAATAGATGTGTAAAAAAAATACATATCTTTCATTTTGAATACGTAGAACAATATAATGTGAAATTTCCTATGATTGTGATATTATTACTTTATCGTATGTTGTTCATAATATGTATAAATTTATAAATTATATTTAATTTTATAATATGAATTGTACATATGCCTCTTAAAGACTCCGACTGTAAAACGTACACTATCTGTGATTTATCTAGATTTTACTTTATATATTGTATATACGCTGTTTATTACGACTTATTTATTTATAAAATTTGCTTGAAAATAATTTCTTGATATGATTTAAGTATATATAAATAGACTTCTAATACACTGTTACGATCATTATCGACCATAAAAGGGTTCTCTGAAACAATTTATTACTTACTTAAATAACGTAAAGTTTTATATTGATATGTGTAAATATGTGAAAGTAATTAGATTTATCCAGCACCACTGCACGAATATAAATATTCTGAAAGATATATGTGTAAATCCCTTTAAGGATTTTAATATTCGATTCGAAAATTCAATAGATTGTTCCAATAAGAAGAAATATTGCATGCATTTTTGTATAACACACACCACACGCATTCGCAGAATAATTATTAACTTTACAAATATAAATCCAAGAATATATTCGTAATATTTCAAACATGACCTTTTCAATGCTTCAACAGCAATATGTATTAAATATGTATTTTGCTGATGCTGGAATAAATGTGCGTTTTTATAAATATTTCTACATTTGAACTTATTTTTACATTATTTTGTTCCGCATAATACCTTAAAATATTTGTAATTATCATATCATTTCTAAATAATTTATCTTTTTTTGCAATTAGATAAAAGATTAAGAGATCATTTAAATATGTCTTTTTTAATACCTTCTAAAAATTATCAGAGTTAATGTAACTAAATATGCAAATATTTAGTTCCTGCGAGTTTTAATGTTGTTTTTATCCATTCTCTATAAATATTTTGAATTATTTTACTTTTCCAAATTCAATTTCTTCATTTGAGTATATAATTCTTGCGTATCATAATTTATATGAAAATTGCATATGTTATTTGTATTATTATAAATGTATAACTCATGTGTAATCATATAAAATAATTAAAAATGATAAGTCACAATGTAATTATGAATATAAATTTATTACTCGCAGAATGCGCAAGTAAGAACTTAAAAATATTTTTACTTATATATGAGATATTTCTTATTGCTATACATAATTATATAATGCATCTATATCTATGCTTTATAATATCATAGCTGCACATATACTAAGATACAAAAATTATAATGGAATAACAGCTTACATTAGAATTAACGCATAATAACAACGTCAAGTAACAATAAAAGAGATTATAGGCATAAAGAAAAATTCAAAATATATCAATGCATGCAAACTGGAAATCACAGGATTTTTATGTCATATGATAACAATCTTTTCCATACCTTAGCAATTTACTTTCTTCTTTTTCATCGTGTGCAAATGTTATAATATTTATATACCCTGTAAGATAATTATCTAAAAGAATAAATTTTAAAAAAATTTTTTTTACGTATTGTAACATTTGAATCAATAAATAAAGTGCAAATATTATTTAGCATATCGTAGCAATACTATACTACACTCTGTTATATCAGTTAAATGTATATTACTGTACAATAAAGTGTAATTTATACAATTTATATATAAATATGGATAATGATATATACTAATAATTATCCAAATTCCAGTTTCTCTACAATACGTTGCAAGTTTGTGCACTGAGCTTTGAGTATATAGTACAGATAATCAATGGATAAATTATCAAATTTCTCTACATTGCTTTTCGTTATACAGTATACACGTGGACGGCAAGGATATGTATATATAATTAAAACTGCTTCAAGATTGCTCGTCATGCTTTTAACAATATTGTACGAGTTACATTTTAATAATGAAAGTACGCTTTTATATTGCTATTAGGCAAATTCAACATTTTTTAATTGAAAACTGGATGCTCTTTATTCTATTATATAAAATTAAAATTAGCACGCGTACATAATCAGGAAAAAATGTTTTCTAATAATTTGTCTTTTACTAGGCTATTTATACGTGTATACCTATCATTTTTAGCACAACTGTGGCAAAATATGTGCATTTAAATGACTCTATCATTAAACATTTACTGTACAATATTTTTAGGAACTCGTACAATTCTATAGTATCATTTAATATAAACAAATAGTGTAGCAAATAAAAATATTAAAACTCCTTTTATTTAATTGCCTCAATGATTTCCATTATTCTGTGAAAATCTTCTGTGAAAAAGAGATACTCAAATTAAAAATAACTTATTAAAAATCAACGATAAATTGTCTCTCCTTAATAACAATATTATATAACATTATAACATTAAATATTTAATGGTGTTTGTACATAATCATGAAATGAAATTAATCACATAGTAGATAAATGACTATTTACAATTTTAACACTATGATGCTTTTCATGTGACACAATATTTTGATAATAAGCTTATTCAACTTCACAAGTGTCTAAATGTCGCTAGGAATTAGTAGTTTCATACATTACCTTTTATACAATGAATTATCTATAAATCAGTATCAAAAATTAAAATAAACTACGTAACAGATATATGTTAAGTGTAGAAATATACGCTCACAATTAGATCTTGAGTATAAGTTTCATAGGAAACTATTAATAAATTAGAAAATATAGTATACGTTGATGGATGTAAAACTAATTTACACTAGTATACGTATATGTGTGTTTGTGTGTGTAAACACACACACACATACATTCTATAGTAGAGTATAGCAAATATTTCCTCATCTCATAATATTATAAATATTATTTATTTAATATTTTGCGCCTGATTCGTAATATTATTCGAATATTAGTAAGTATTATTGATTAGATTCAAAAGTGTAAAATCATAAAGAGATGTTGTAAGATATGTTGTGACAATACAAATTTCTAATGAGAAGTGAGAAATACATCCATCAACCACTACTTAATTGTTCGTTTGTCATTACTGCTACCAGTTCTGTAAGTGAATAAGATAATTGTGTGTATATATACATATATATATATGTATATATTAATTAATTAATCTGTGCGCCTTCACTACCTAAAGAAATTTCCTGCGCATTAATGATACGTGTTGCATCAACTATAATTGTAAATTATGTATACTTTATGTTTATAGTAGTAAATAATATACTATATAGAATACGATGATATATAAAATACAAGAGTACTATGAAAGCAGAGGACAGGTTACGAAGGCACAGAGGCTTTATATAGAGTGGAGAAATCTAACGTTTGTTAGATAATTAGAAACTTATCAAGTTTCTTATAAAATGTGCTGTACAAAAAGTTAAAATTCATTGTTCTTCGCAGTCTCGATAAAAGTGCAACGTAAATTCCAAATAGTCAACATCATGCTTACTTTTGCAAATATTCTGTAATATAATATGATAATTAGACTACTCAATGTTGAATACATAAAAAATCTCTAACGTATAATAAATATTTTGTGAAGAATATTTCACTTGTTACATTACCTCTTGAGGTTGCATCATAGGTATGCGAAACTTTAAAGTTTTCCTAATGTAATGAGCGACATCAAGGGGAAAAGACTGATCATTTGGTTGATTATTACTTTCAATATACTGAGGTTGTTGCGGCACAGAATGGCTCCAACACATTGTTTCGTCCGTACCAGAATTCGGTGATAAAGGACACTGCTGCACAATTTGCCAATACCATGGTATACCGCTGTACAAAAAAGTCGTGATTACTGTCAGAAATTGAAGACACATATTCATATAAAGTATATATGTATTCTAAACTTACACAAAATGTAATGTTAAAAGCGTATCTGGCATATGTTTTGATAAAGGTACAATGCAACTAATGTTATTGGGTGTATCCGGTAACGACGGGGAGCAATATCTTTGATCCAAAGACGTGTTGAAATTTTTTGCTACTACGAATAATTGTGGTCTAGGCTCTGGCGGCAATGATCCCGCAGCGTTACTAGCGACTTCTCCCCAATCTCCACCACCGGTTTCTCGTCTTGCACGTTTATGCAAATACTTGTAATTGGTCTGTAAGATGCGCATACAGTTAATTACATATTTGTCTTCTTTGTTATCAACTGTCTGATATGACAAATTAAGAGAGAGAATCTATACCTCTTTCACAAGAGTTTGAGTGCTAGGATCGGATGGACTAATACCATTTTGGAAACCCTTACTTAATTTTCGTTTCTCTTCGTGTGGCATACTTAGTGGCTGTTCCAAGTGATCTGCTGAAAAATAATAAAATAAACTTGTATAGTAATATATTTTACATTATTACAAATGATTCGTGTGCATACTTAAAAAAAACTCGGAAAAACATATGAAACTTACAAATGGACTTTTTCTCTGGTGGATGATCAGGCTGAGGATCCTCTAATTGATGAATCTCAGTTGTGCAACAATATATCTGAAACATTGCGTTTATATTTCATTTAGTTATAAATCTGTTGTACATTAAAATGTCTGCACACGTATATCAATAATATTTAAAATAATGTCAATAAATTTTTAAGTTTACCTGGCATGGACTTTCGAGCTCAGTAAAGTGTGCGGGACATTCTTCAGGTCTTCCTAAAGGAACTGGACCTTTATTAATAGATGAAGAATCTATATCCGAGCCTTGATCATTCTCATCCACATTGCTAGGAACAGCGCCTGCACCACTTCTACTAAGCCAATTTCCCGGGAATTCGCTGAAATATATTATTAACATAACAGTTTTATTGAACCTGTGTACAAAAAAATGTTTCATTTCGTGATAATATTGTTGAAAAAGTTGATTTCAATTTCACTGACTTATTTTTTTCATGTTTAGGCTGGGGACCCGGATGGCTCATCGGATACCACGTTATTTCCTGAGAGTACAATTGTTGTTTCGTGTGTGGAGGCGATGTGGTGAGAGAATTACTTTTGACAGATAATCCTCCGTCTAATTCTCTCGTGTAAGATCCTTGCTTAGTATAGAAAGGGGATAATGTGCTATGTAACAAGGAATTATATCGATGCTCGTAATTAGAAGTGGTAGACATTGTCGGAGGATGTGCCGGACCAATAGCCAACATTCCATTGCTTGCCATGGCAGACCATTCAACGCTACTGCGTTTTTGATATTCTAAGAAATATAATGTTGCCATTGCAACTAGACTGGAAATGATATAATATTAAAGCATAATTAGATGTTCGAGAGAGAAACGAAATCGGATTAAGGTGGGCAATAAAGCTAATAATAAGTAATTACCAAAATGCCATGATGAGAATAAGTATGACAATAATAATTTGAATAAATTTATTACTGCAGAGAAGTTCTTCCTCCCTTTCGAACCTTTTTGTCTTTCCGTGCAAAGACGACTTATTATTGATCGACGATGAATATTTATTGCCCGATATACTAGATACTGTGCTGATAGAACTCTTTAGACTATCACCTCTTTTCAATTTTGCCAGTCGTTTATTTATTCTCTCTAATTGATCTATTCTCGTTTCTAGACTGTCCGTCACCTGTAATAAATCAATTATAATTAAGTAAACGATCAAATTCTCTATAGAAAACACTGTATAAGGATTGATATAAAATTCGTACTTTGCATAATTCCTTGACCGCACCAACGTTTTCCATAAATATCCTCTCCTTATTTACCACCAAGAAATTTTCAATTCTTTGACCATTTGGTAGAACTATATCACCTGCCGGTAGAACCGCTTCCGGTAAAATTTGCTGAACCTCTTGCGCTATAACGCCAGTATCCTCCTGTTTGATATCTAGACCCGAATGTTGCGCGAATTCGGGAGCGTATCGATAACGAACAACGCGCAGTTGTTGTACGTTCCGTAGTTGTTCGCGCGTATCAACTTCTTGAACGCTCTGCTTCGCTCTTACGTCGCTGGGTTGAACGATGTGACCGGTTACCTGTGTGACAAATTAACGACATATCGATACACATTACAATGTTACCCAACGTTATATCCAATTCAATAATATAAATACGTAATTAAATAGGAAATTCGCGTACCTTCATATTGCCATGCACAACAAGAGCTTCGTCTGGTCTATCCGTATTAATTCCAACCCTGCCGGCATGGTATACGCTATCTGGAGCTGCTCCTCTCTGCCATCCACCCTCAGCACCCACACCAGTACCTTCTGATTCAAACTGCCCTGGATTACTCGCCTATAATTCAATGTGTGAGAATCAATTCCGCTTCCAGAACAATTCTATTGATTTTACATACTCTGACAATTATACGTTCCGATGCGTGAGCCACTACTTGATAACTGGATTGGTCTGCGGTATGAGCGTGCAGCCCGACAACCAAATGAAAATACCTCTGGTCCGGATTTGGTTTTCCCTTCTTACGCATATTATTGCTCGTAGTTTCGCTAAAGTGCAAGCGGCCGACCGTCACTTTTGTCACACGTTCGCCGCCTAATTCGACTCTGTAACATGACATCTACAGCATAATCCAACTGTATCTAATTATCTTGTGGCTATATATATTGCATCGATGTACAAACTTACATTACAGGATGGAATGGTTTCTTGCTCCTATCACTTTGACTTTGTTCGACTCTGATCGTTTGCGACGGAGATTCCACCTTAACTCCGTAGAAATGTAATTGAAAACCACTTATCTTCTTTAGGCCTTCGCCAGTCCTAACAAATACGGCCTCCCCTTGAAGCTGCGCGTGACATGTTATCTAAAGATGTGAAGATTGTTATTTAGTAAAAATTGATATAATTTAGACAACAAATATTGTTATACTCATAGTTTTTAAGTTCGTAATATAGCTTTGTTTTATCTTTACAATTATCAAACGTCGCTCTTTCACCTGAAAATGATTCTTCTTCTGACAAACAAACGCATCGTCCGAATTGCTAAAATTAAATCCTTTATCGGCGTCGACTCTATAGTGTGGTATCGGTAACTCTTTGAGATTATGATCGCAGAGAACGTGCCAAGACGTTTGCTGAAAAGGATGAAATCGAATACACTGATAACTAGCGTCGATGTAATTACTGTCAGTGACTTCGTCGTTATCCAACACCCCACTACTGCTGCTGCAACTGTGCTCCACGGTACCCAGTTCGGGTTCCTAAAAAATAATTGCGAGTGATCAGAGTGAAAAAATAAAAAGAGAGAGAGAGAGAAAACTACGAATCAAATGTAAAAGTACCTGTTTGACATGAATAAGACCATCTTGGCTGAGCTTCCTCTTTTTCGGGGCCGATTGCAGGGAGGAGTATAACGTGTTAATACCAGCTGGGCTGTGTTCGTGCGATAACGGCACCAAAGGCGGTCCTATCTGAGGCTGCGTTGGAAGATTCGACGTTCCTGACGTAAGATGAGATGTCAGGACCGGCGTTAACAATAGAGGATCCGTTGTCGCAGGCAACGTTCTCGGGGAAGGTGGTAGCAAATTAGAAGGGTACTGATTGTTCTGATGATGCAGAAGTATTTCTTGCAGAGCTGCCTTTTGATCTACAATCACACGCAATTGTACGTAATAATTTTCTTTTCCCCTTGTAAAATGTTCTTACGCAAGTGTATTTAGACTCACGTGGCGAATGTACGTGTTGAGTGTCATTATGTCCCGGCGGTGAATACGGTGGCTCACTTCCGCTATCGGGTGGGCTTTCCGGTAGCGCGTGTCTGGAAAACGCAATGTTCTAGATTTTCACCGAGTCATTAAATCGCTACAAGAGACCTGTCGCTCTTTTTTTTTTTTTTACTAGGCTGTCGCGTTTACTCCAGTATAATCTGAAATCTTTGTCACTTAAGAACCGGTGTGATTTCATAAGGAACTCAATTCCTCAATTCGTACCTGAGATACCGGAAGCTAGAGCTCACGCCGATTCGTAAACAAACGTAGAAATTACTCTTGCTTCTTCCATAAGCATTTCCTGGTGAAAAGCTTTTACCTGCTGTCATTTTTTAGAGCTCGACTTACGGGTGAACATACGCCTGCGGATCTTTGTAGCCGGCGTTGTTGGGCACCACCGTCGTGGTACCGGAAGCGCACGCTATCGAAACTGGATGAGCCTGCGTCATCTGCGGCGAAGGTAGTCGCGGTGGTGGCTGCTGTTGGGCAACCGGTTGCGACGTGGGTGCCTCGATCCGGCCACCGTGGGACACCGTTCCACCTCCATTTTCGTTGTGGGCAAGGGTGTCCGCGAAATATCTAAACACAAAACGCTCTCGTCCAAGTCTCCGTTTTCGTTTCTTCTTCTCCTGCGTCTTACGCTTCGTCCGTGCGATATCCTTAGTGCGGCATTTTGCTATATTTAGAGATACCTGGTGTGAGGATGCGTGAGGACAGTTTGCTAGAAATCGGTACGCGTCAGCACTTTTTCCTTTTATTGATCTTACGAGAGCTGTGCATGCCAAGACCGCGACTGCACGTTGAATTTGCAAAACATGAGATATCGTTATCGTCTGAATCGCAGTTCGGCGTGCGGCGGTAAATGATGCTTCGCGCAGCGTCTCGCGTTCAGTTTTCTCAACTCGCAGAAAATTTGCAAGAGTTTTAACTGCACGGTGCTATTATGCAGTTTCCAAGCGGGTAAGGAGGATTCGCGACCACGACGATCCGCGCGTCTATGAATTTTCCACGAATTCTCGATGAAAAGCCAACGTCAGGAACGTTCCTTCGATAACAATCGATAACAATACCTGTTCCTCCGCATTGCATAAGCTGCCGTAATTATATTGTCAATCGAGTGGAAATTTCTGATTCTTTAAATATAAATTATGACTATCATTGACGACTATCTCTTTATTATCTCTCGTTGCGTATGGTTTTTATCATCACGTGCCGCGAGTTATTTCATATTGTTTCGTAATTAATGCAACTAGGATCGAAAAATAAATGAGTGTTTCCACATAGCGGATCTCCTTTCTCTCTAAACGTCGATTCCGTATAAAATCACTTTGCGTTTGCGTCGCCGCTATAAATTTTCCCCGCTTATCTGTCTAACTAATGCACTTTTTTAAATAACATATCTATTGCATATTCATCACGATGCACGCACGTGTACACGCACATCGAAATGCGTACTAGAAAATCACGAGAATAATAAATAACAAAGAGGGAAAGGGAGACGTACAAGTTGGCAGCGAAGTAACAAAGAAACGTCTAGGATAATGCGAATCCGTTTCTACAGGATGAGACGAGTCAGAAAAATGCATAAATATGAAAAAGAAGCGTTAAAAATTTTCAGACACGAAACGGATAAATTAGGATTTAATTTAATCGTTGGACAAACGTCGCGCCTAAACGCACGTCGTTCGGATGAGAGAACTTGAATTTTTTTTTTCCTCGGTTGACCCGAGTCGTCGTGCGACGAGCACCGGGAGCCTTTTAATGGAAGACGAGTGCTGGAAGTCGAATTAGCAGGGTTAACGCAGTGTGCACGCTGTGATTCCATCAATTCCGTTCCGTCTGCCTCTGTCATTATATCATTACACCTCTGCGGTTGTTATCTGCGTGAATATCTGTCTGCGGGCCGAGTCTATACGTACGCGTACGTACGACTGTGTGCGTATAAAGAATGGCTGGATGCGTTTCCTGGTGTACGCGATTACGTCAATACGCGGCAGTCAGGTCTGGAATAAGATATTTTCGTGCCCGAAGCCTATATAAAAGGCTTGACGTCTTTCTGGAATTCGCGCATTATTGCCATTTATTTGGAGCACCGAGATTTAAGCTTCTTAATCTTCGCTCGAACAGTCGCAACGGCACGAAGGGAAACGGCATTTTATTAAGCGGCACTAACACGAGTGTATTATTACGATCATAAACGTATAATAATCGCATACGATCATGTTGTAATTAATAATCGATGCGATCCAGCACGGCTGGTTATAGCAGTTCAAATAAGCGCGAACCTTGTCTGCTCCGAAACATAATTGCAGACAAAATAGCTGTCAACATCATCGGTAAAGTACTAAAATCGTAGCGCTATGATATTGAAATGTTATTAATAGATATGTCAAAACGTACTGACCCATGAACCAATCATTGAGGCAATTATAAGAAAGTGTAAATTCGTATGCGTCGATGTGTCTATGCGACAGCTATCAAGGTCAGCATATTGCATCGACATTCACTGATTAACCGCACGCGGTAATGTATGCGTATAGCTTAACACATTTATTTATTTTAATTTGTATATCACCGTTTTTGAATTATGAGACTTTTACCATTTATACAAGCAGTTTCGCATATATTCGTATCGTTCGCTTTGAAAGTACGAAGAAAAACGTGTCGTGGAAAGTGATTTGAATGAATAAAATGTAAATATTGTCAACAGTAGCCATTCCTAGGATAATCGCTGCGCTGTGGTGACTGAGTAGCCTGAATACGTAGTGTCAAGATGGAGCAATTTAGAAATTTAGCCTGATACATTGTGTCGTTCGCAGGAAACGCGTGCTCGTGCTGCTGGACGACAGAAGCGTATTATCTGAATTCGTTAATTATCATAATTTGAGGAGGCGCCTACAACAGCGTCGAAAGCAACATGCTCGCAGAATTTTACACTTTGCCTGTGCTCCTCGAATATTTAATATTAAAATTTCGACATGCCCAATTATCTTCAAGTATATCGATGAATAAAAATTTCGGAAAAGAAGCGCTCTCAGATCTCGATGCGTGATTCATGCGTGCGATCCTCACGTACGAGGAGCACGGAGGTGGATCGTTATGCCTGATTGGGGAAGATTCATTAATGCAACTTTAACGAACAAATGTATCAATGTAAATTGGTAAATTGCCATTCGACATTCCGAGAAACAACAATTCGAGTTTTGCGATTATTGCGCTGGCACACGCATTACGCGCGTGTGACGAACACGCGCGTTGTAGGCGTTAACCATGGCTTCCAACAAATGTGGTTAAGTTCGTCACACCAGACTGAACGCTTCGACGTCCGAGATCAAATTTCCCGTCTAATCGGAAAGTATTCCCTTTTTTTTTTAATGCCAGCTCAAGATGCGCGATAAAACCAAAATAAACGAATAAACGAAATGGAAACAACGACTGTATAGACGAACTTACGTTGCAGGTTGTTCACTGTCACTGTTGATAAAGTCTTCCAATTGCGAAAAATCCAAGGCTTCGTTGTCTATCCCCCCGACGAAATCGCCACGACCTGAAAAAGAAGAAAGAATTTCGCATTAAGATAACAATAAATTGTTTTCGTTACGAGTACACGTAACATTGTCTAACCGTAGCCGATGCGATAGTCCATCCGTTTCGACAATATATGTATATTCATGCTGCAATACCGTATAACAGAGGATGTAATTATACAAATATCACAAAATTGTTGCTATGCACTTATTTCGCGAACATACACGCGCAAACGTCTGTCATCGTCATTCGTTGCATCACAGGCTGCAAGAGCTCGTGTGAGAAATGCATCTACGTGGGAAAGAGATTTCAAGTGAGGCACATTGTAATTTACCGTCCCTGATAGTTTTTAGAGAGGGAGAAAGTTGATTTATTGAATGGACACGAACAAATTTCACGGATGATTGCGACTCGAAGACGAAGACGCAGTTGAATGAACAAAGCGTCAACGCGCGAGGGAAAAGAGTCGCGCGAAACAGCCCAATTTCTTGCTACAATTCCTAAATTCCGCGTATACCGTCGAAATGTTCCGTTTTTAAAACAGTCGTAGGAAACGATTTACCAGATTTACCATTTTCTCGCAGCGGCAATCGCGCGAGACCGAGGAAGAAATTCAAGCCGATTTACTTGACAAAGTATCTAAAAATCATAAAGCAGTCACTGATCTCCCTAATCAACATTGGTACTCGTGATCCTGTTTTGAAATGTAGAAACGCGGGCATGTACTTCGTATATACTTGAACGCTTAAGACTACAAGCAAAGCGTTGTAATACGTTACTTCCGGTCAAACATTCATAAACGTTTAAGTGTTGGGAGCCGAGAGTAAGGACACTTTTCAAGTGAATAACGAGACGTTGGATCGTCTCGCCCAAAGTTTTTCATTAATCGTTAATCGTCAACATCAAACTGTTGGAAGATTATTCTTATTTTTAACTACTAATATTCGAAATTGCATAAAGATAACAATTTGCATACTGAGTAAAAATAGCCAGAGTAACGGCAATTTTTTTCGATTAGTCGACCGCTTTCAATACATTTAGTCTGAAAAAGTATTTCAAACTGAAATCGTGACTTTTCTAAAAGGAATAATTTCCAAGTATCTTTTCTTCGTTACAGAGATCGCAATGAAAAGTACCATTTTTAAATAATCAGGCAAATAAAGTCCAGAATGTGCATGGCGCTTAGCGTTTACGGAAAGAGCTGGAGGGGTGAGTTACAAGGGTAGACGAGTCGTTGCCAGCCAACCCTTTATCAAGATATCGACCAAACACCGCCCCCGTGAGCATGGTTGGCTGTTTAAATCTGAATATCATTACGCCAGATATGCGCTATGCGCGTAGTTATAAATTATTGAAAACCATCGATATATGTAAACTAGAATAATATTGTGTGAAATGTGAATTCAAGTTTTTTTTTAAATATAATATAAAATATTTATACTATAATAAAATATGTTGCTTTTATTTGGACTAGCGTATCACTAGCAATATGCCAGTAATACACCAAAATAAAAGACTTATTTTACGAATTAATTGCAAATCGCATTAACACAAAGAAATGTAACTTTCACTCAACGTAATTATATATGTCTTTCCTCGTCGCGCAATATATAGGAATGTTAATATTAGTTGAAGCGCAGCCTACAATCGCGGATAAAACAATCGTGTAATAATTGCGCCTGTTCCAATCAAGTCTCGAATGATGTAAAAAGACTTATGTATAAAGATGTATGTAGGCTTTCGACCTCTCTGTATCGGCTGACGACCACTTTCTCCAGCAAAGCAAATAGAAATGCATCGTGGACGGCGACTCGTCTATGAAAATTGGCCGGCTTTCATTCTTCGCAACAGAATATAGATGAATATAGAAATGTTTATAACCCTGGCTGCTGTAATTCACACGGCGATAGAAACTGTACTGGCGAAACGAGTACTGGCGCACTCGTGCAACGCCATCGTATTATTCTTGCGACACGTGCATCGCCACGATCATATCGTAAACGTTTAAACAGAGGAAGTTAATCGAAACGCAGTTGTCGATTTCACCCCTGTTTGATCGCAGGGTTGATGCAGCTGCCGTATCGTCAGCACAGGGTAAATCCAGAGTTCCACCTGAGGTCTAAATGATTAGCAGGGTGCAGCATTCTTTTCCATGGCCATTAAGAGGTTTTCGAGAGGGGTCCGAACAAGTTGCGGACAGGTGTTAAACTGCTGTTTGTGAACATATCGATATTGGTCATGCAACTTTGACAATATAATAGGGCTCATTACATAAAAATAATAACGCTCTATTAAACAGGGATGGCACGAACAAACAAACATACAATTGATCGAGTCACGATTGCATCAGATCCTTCTCTTTCCACTTAGAAAATCTACTTAAAAGGAAAGTTAGATTTTCTTATTAAAATTAATCACTCAAGCCATACGCGTTATTACTAGAAGCGATAATACGAATTTCCAGAATCACCACTAAAACTGATTACAGGAAATGATTTTACAGAATATTTAATAAAGCATTTTAAAACCAATTTCAAACACTGAAAAAAATTTCTGGTTGAATATGGACGAATCAGATAATTCCTTTAGAATTTACCAGAATTCCTGTAATCCTACAGAAATTCTGGTAAATCCTAAAGGAATTCTGGTAAATCCTAAAGGAATTATCTGATTCGTCCATATTCAACCAGAAATTTTTTTCAGTGCAGATAAAGGAATGAAGATATTAAAATAGTGCGCCTAATCCCTTATTCGGTGGTGTCGAATTATCCACCTTTTTATTTTAATGTTTGCTGGCGGTAGAATATCTTCAATTTGGTTTCAAGATATTAAGCTTGGTGACGATAACATTATAATTTGTTTAATTTTACTTTCAAAGGAATATTTCCTTTTCGTGGAAGTTATTTATCCGATATTCTACGACACGTTTATTTTCAACAAATCAATTTCGAAGACAATCAAAGAAATCAATTTCCGAGACATAGGACAAAATAGCATCGACATATTTACTCTATACCTTTGAAACACACACGTTTATGAAAATAAACACACAAACTATTTTCTCTCTTATTGAAGAGAAATCTGTGCGCTTTCGTTCTTTCACAAAAATGTTGCCAGTTATGTACAATCTTAAATTTTCGGATTATAACTTTTCGGCTGTTACTTTGCATTCTGTGATCTCCTAAAATGGAAAAATAGAAAAGACCTCGCTTACACAGATTATGCATCAATGTTCGATTACCTGCCACGCTAAGCAATCGACGGGCGCTAACTTGATTGATAATATTAGCGTCTTCATGATGATCAGTCGGATGATTTCGTCCATCTTGATCATTAGATTGATGCTGAAGTGCCCACGAAAATTCCATAGCGACGAAAATGTTTTAACAAACCTGGATCACTCTCGAAAACTTGTCTGGTACTTCAGACTAGAACGACACTTCATCGCTACGTAATTAACGCCGCGAAAAGTTAAATAAACTTATGACATTTAATTTATAAAATAAATATCATCTCGCCTGCATATAATTCGTTCAGGTGCCGCGTGAATCTTTACATTTTACGTAGCACTTCATTTTTCTCCCGCGAAAAAATTATACGATAGACTATTCGTTCGACACAAATCCGCGACAAGGTATGACGATTACAGAATATTGACGATACTTTTTAGATGCAATTGAAATGAAGCGAATGTTGTGCCTCTTTATCTCTTTGCGTCTGTCGCGAAAATGAGGACCTAGGTCGCTCGTAGTCCTGGTTTTCTAGTTGGGCAACGAAACACAACAGTCCACGGTAGTTCACGACTTAATCACAAGTCTCCTCCATCGGAGGGCTCCAATACCTCCACCATATTCCAAGTATAGAGGGGATTTCCTCTTTGATCGGAGGGCGGTGCTTATTTCGGACTGAAAGGGGTGGTTACATGCAGCCCCTTTCTTCGATATGTACTGTTGTACATAAGACGTCACGATGCGAATTCGAACATTAATGTTTTCTTACAGATTGCAATTAATGTTTTTCTTATTCGCTATAAAGTCAAATATCGAATATCAATTAAGTAAGACTTGATATTTAAATTACGTATCTATATCGATAGATCGAATCTGTCACGCGCCATTTCTGCAGAGATGTATTCAAGGTGCCCCAATTTTTATACAATTACTTAAAGAAAATTAGGAATAGTACAATTAATCCGCTAATCCGCACAAATTTATAAATTGTACGCCGATAGCGGCCAAATGTTCGATAAACCGAATTTCTCTCCTTGATCCAATTATAACGATTATTACGTGTTCAGTGATACGAGGAAATGAACATTGTGTACGCAATTGAGAAATAATTTTTCAAAGTGTAATAAATACAAAAAAATGTCTGTCACACATGGATAACTGTGGGTTTCGTGCGGATTACGTAAGAAATTTTTAAGAAAATTTTATGATCGAGCAAAGTGACGAGAAGTGTAATTTCGTCACGGTTCAACTGGCCGATACAAAATTAAGGCAGGAAATGATACCAAAGTTCTTGCCCACTTTTCAAAGAATTCGAGCCCATTGTCCGAATCTCTGAATTTAATATCTGTAACGCGATACGCGTCGAGTTACGGTAGCTCGCGACAGGATCAATGATGATTTAAACGCATCGCCATTCGTACGTATGAAGCATTAAACAATTAAAGTAGGGCTTGTAGATGCAATTATTCCATCAGAATTCTTTCGGTAAACACCTGCTGTTCGCAGCACGCCCGTCACTTCTGCACCGAGCGAGAGAGCGTGAATCCATTTCTCGTCGCGTGCGTAAATGTTCACGGGTGCGTGTAATCGGCATCACGCATTAAGTGCCCGCCCGCGTTGCGTTGTACGAACCCTCCGTTTATATTACCATTAACACGACCGGGACCGGGCACACCGAACGAGCATTTCCCAGGCTCGGTTTTTGATGCCCACGCTGTCGGAAAAGGGCGACGGTGGTGGCGGACCGATAATATGCAAATGTTTGCTTCTGGTTAAATGGCCGTTTACTTATTCATCGCTCAACGCTGTACGTTTATTCTCTGTCGTTTCTCAATTTGCGAACAGGATAATTGCCTTTTAAATCCTTTCGTTCGCGCCACGCCGCCTCGCGAGCCAGCGATCTCTCGTACAAAGACGCTCTATTATAATGCGACTTTTCAAGCATGCATGGTATGCGTGCATGTACGTAGTATGTATCGCCTATGAGCGTTGCGCCAAGATATGTAGAACGAGAGTGATCGGCAATTACAAACAGTGTCACCGGCGATTAATTAATCTCGACTTACACATTACAGTTTGTGCAATGGGAATAACTGCCTGTCGCAAGGGAACGAAGAGAGAGGGAGAGAAAAATATGAAAATCTGTGACATTGTTACCAAGTGTAACTCACAATCAGTCGCAATAAACACGCGTTTCCAGGGAGCCGATGTTCTTTTCGTCGTCCTTTTATCGCAAACGGATTAACAACAATTACATTTTATGTATCTAAATTCATCTGTAACAGGATCTTTTTTAAAAGCATGTCAACTTTACCACGTGATCACGCGTAGCTATATATTACAATTACAGAAACCTGCGAGGTCACGCCAGCAACTATCAACATTTCATTATGCCTTACAGTGCTAATGGAATTTGCATACAACCGGCATTGTCGGTTCTTCGTGCTGATTCAATTGTTCACCTCATCATCAGATTCTTATCAGAATTACAAATAGTACGGCATTTTTTTCCGCAATACCCGATTTATGGCAACGTAAAACAAAATATTCACATACTTAAGTATTACCGAAGTTGTTTGGACTGAAAGTAATTATGCGCTTTACGTTGGTCAGTAGCGACACGATTTCAAAACAAAGCCACCAAATTGCGACGTTAATGCCATCTGTATTCATTTGGAATCGCAAAGAAAGATAAATTAGCGAACAACGGATGACTAAAACAAGTAAACAGTTGCAAATGAAAAGCGTGCACGCCGAGAGATGCGCTTTGCAGCGATACTTTTATTCTCTGTGTAAATGTAATATTTTGGAAAACATTAGGCGCGCAAGCATTTCTTCCACTTGGACGTACGTAATTATTATTAATTAAACTGCGTCTGCACATCGCGCAAGTTTCGTGCGCGCAATTATCGTGGTCCAATTTCAGGCCAGTACAATGGAGCAGTTAACCGATGTAAGTGTCAAAATGATTTATGATACGTGACTGCATGAAACGCCGGCAACGCGAATAAATAAGAAAAGGAGGGATACGAAGATTTTCCGTGCAATCAAAGTTTTCAAACGGCCATTCAGCTCGACTGCAAATCGACCTTACGGCAAATCGTAGGCATCGATATCGCACAGACACTGTGGTTAACGTCGCTGCGATTATCGGAGGTATCTGTATTACACGCGCGCATAAAAGCCATGATTTCTGAAGTACTTGCTACTCTCTCGAGTCGCGCATCGGTTCAAGGAGAATCTCGAGGGATAGTAAAAGTATGCAGCTGGTATGCTTTAGCGATCCAAACTCGCATAAAACGTCACGTTTCTCCACGGCTCCGAGCTTTTAATTTACAATTGGCATCTACAAAGCTTTCATCGCGTACGAAAAACATGTTACTCTCTACTTAGACTATGACACACGTGCCAATAAATGTAACATACAAGTGAAAAGAATTGACACGAAGACGTCCGATCTTTTAGAAACTTTGCGACAGGTGTAATGTACCACACCGATAACGATTGCTTTGCAAATGGCCCATTTGAACGCATGCGTTCCGCATAAATTCACGACAACCATAATCGGATACTCCGGCGGCGATGCGAATTATCTAAAGTTTCACTTTAAATTTGTACAGTGTGAATTGTTACGTTAGCCACACCTATACCTTTCACCTGACACGTTAGCTCGCGCGAGAACAAACTTGCTCGATACTTGGTCGATTGCGTTCGGAAATCCGCCAATTGTGAGGCGGCGATGAGATGTTATGAAATGTATTTTGCTGCATCGCTGAAATGTTGCACATATCTAACGAAAGCCGAGCGAATTAAACGAATCGGAGTAACGTTTGCTGAAAATTTTTCTCGTACAAAACGTTGCCTCTATTTTGGTATCTTCGAGCCTTGGCGATATTTTGAAAGTTGAACAAGAGAGAGCAAGTTGAAGCTTCAAGGCGCACCAAAGGGAACGTCGTTTTGCCACGAGTTATACATTTTCTAATAGGTAGGTTTGGAAATAAAAAAAACAAAAAATTTATCGCCACGAACGATAAGGATTTGCGTCCGGAATTCTCGCGTGTGCTCGTGCATTTAACCCAAACGCCTGACCTCATCCACACATCGCTCATCCGTGACACGCTCGCCCACGAACGCAAATGTTATTGCCAAAGCAATAAATATGGTAATGTGTCTAACGTGGGCGGTGCGTACGTACATATCCACGGAATAAAACAGACGTGTCCGAGCGTTTAGATCGGCTGGAACGACTATTGGTTCGCGCGCACGTATATATTGCAAATCGGCCTGTATTTCACGAGGGAAGGGGGAAGGGAAAAAAGGACCGAGAACGGGGACGAGCGAGAAAAGTTAGCGTGACTCGAGCGGAAGACACGACATCGGGACATCAGCGGGAAACGGCCGGGGCCATGTTTCTCCTGTAATAGCCACGTTCCACGGTTCCCTACCTCGTCGTCGTCGTCGTCGTGATCGCGAGCATGTTGAACCGTGTCTCATTCTATGTCACTGATATCCAGCTCGAAGCGTATCGTTTTGTTACCGTATAATAGTCTCCTTGGAGAATTCGCAAGCATCGTCCCCGGGATCGATAAACTCGCGGAATTTTTCCAGAGGATCGGAGCACGCGTATCTGACGTATCTGACGTATCTGACGTATCGCCAACCACGACGACAATTGTCGTCAAATGAACAAAAGGCATCGGCTTCGCTACTTTTGCCTTGTAATACTTTGTTTACCGGCGCTACGTGACGAGTGCGCGTCCAACGTGTAACGAATAATTCAATTAAGTATCATAATCTTGGCGGTGCACACAATGCAGAGAGAAAAGTCGCTTGATTCCCACAGTGATACGCCCCCTGAACTTTAGCTCGTGGAATTCATCGGCTTTCACTAGTTGCGCCACTTTACGATGATACAAATATAAGCATTTTCATCGCGATTGACATTACAATTAAACGTAACGGCTCCGCAAAATCATTATTAGTAATAAATAGCTTTTCTCAACACTTCTCTCAATTCTTTCCTTCGAGATTCGTTGCAATATTAAAATATGCATCTGATGAATCGCGTATATTAAGTATTTGCTGACAAGCGCTTTCCATTGTTAGAAATCTCCAAATCGGATCGTCCAATTATTGCCATTTACTGCCACAAGATTCAGACATTTTTCTCGATACGGCTCATTACTCGAGCGATGTAGCGCTTAAAGGTCATTTGCGAGCAGAATTAAAAGAAAAAGTTGCTAATAGAAAGGATTATCGCTTCCTGCGGTTTTTGTGACCAGCCCGTTCTACATGTGGAACGTACGTTTGTACGTTGAATGATCGCGTCGGCACCGGCGGCTCGCAACTTGCAAAGTAGTCCATACATCCTCTCTCTTGCATTATAAACAATCTC